ACACACAACAACACAGACAATGCTATAACACCACTTGCTGTGAAATACAAATAATGTGCAATATATTTAGTGCACATTATATGTGCCGTTAATAACTGTGCAATATATACCTGGCTGCTATATCTTCAGAACTGTTACAGGATGTGTATTTTGTAAATTGTTTAATTTAAATACAAAATATTGATGTGTGAATGTCCCTTTTCAGGGTTAACTGGACAATACATGATCTACAGTGGCTGTAGACAGCATTACAAAGTCTTTCTAACTATTTGTATTTGTCCTCCCCTCACAGTCAGTGGTTGCTCGAGGGCTTCTTAACAGTGTCCAGGAAAAGGAAGGATACCTCCCTGTCTACATCAACTTCTCCGCCCAGACCTCCTCCGCCCGCACTCAGGAGATCATTGAGTCTAAACTGGAGAAAAAGAGGAAAAACATCATGGGTATTTGCTGTACTTATAGACACATGCATTCCCAAACATTTGGTCTACCTATGCTGTAAATGTATTATCTCTTCAATTTACACACGGCATCTATCGCACGTCTGTCCGTCCTGGGAGAGGGATCCCTCCTCTGTTGCTCTCCCTAAGGTTTCTCCCATTTTTCCCTTTAAACTGTGGGTTTTCTCCGGAAGTTTTTCCTTGTACGATGTGAGGGTCTAAGGACAGAGGGTGTCGTATTGTCATACTGATATTCTGTACAAACTGTTAAGTCCACTGACACAAATGTAACATGTGTGATATTGGGCTATATAAATAAACATTAATTGAATGATACTGCAATGTGGAAAACCTTTGAAAAAACATGCTAAACTGCTTAGACATATTTGTTTTCTTCTAGCAAACCATCCATCCATCTCTTTTGTCGTACAGTCAATGATCTCAGACTTTCCTTGCCACCTGTCAGTCTGTAAATCTGTTCATCTTTTTCTCTTCCTCTCCTCATACTTCTCCCTCTCCCTCCATTATAGGTGCTCCTGGTAACAAGAAGCTATTGGTCTTTGTGGACGACCTGAATATGCCCAAACTGGACTGCTATGGCTCTCAGCCGCCGATAGAGCTGCTGCGTCAGTTCCAGGACTTTTCTGGCTTCTACGACAGAACCAAGTTCTTCTGGAAGGAGATCCAGGTATAAATATAACATTAGATCAGGTCACGTATGTTACAAAAGCTATGTTAGTTTGTCATTTTTGGTTTCACATGGGATTTAGACAGCGGTCTCCTGGGTAAAAGTCCTTTTCTTGTTCAACCCATCCATCCAACCTGCTCTCCTCCTTTGTTGCTCTTTATACTACAGTATGACACCTGACTTCCGTCTTTTACCCTATCATGATGACTATAGCCTCGAGGCTTCCCCCTAACAATATACGTAAATATAAGTCTTTATGTGCTGCTTACTGTACACAAATACCCATAATGCAATTTTTTTAAGGACCTTATTATGCATGTACCTACATCTGATTTCCCCTTCCGGGATTTCAGCAGGTACTGTAGCTCTTACTCCTATAAATCTATAAACAGTTTGTATATACTGTATATGTACAGCATATAGGGGGGTTTGTAAGCAAAACATTAAAACAAAACATAGATATAATGCTGGAGGAGGGGTGTTATGATCATCCTGAAAAAAGATATGTTGCAAGTTTACGAGAAAAAAATATATACCTTTTTTTAGTAAAGATTTACAAGTGTTTTTTTTGTCTCCTCTGTTTATTATATGTTTTAAAGAAGATACATCCTGCATAAACTATGGCTTTGTTTTGGGACACTAATATTCATCAAGCTGTTTCTTCCTGTTTCTAGTCGTTATGCTTAGTAAGGCGAAAGCGTCGTCCAGGAGCTGTGCTCACTGCATCACACAGAGATTCAAATAGCTTCAACACACAGTCAGCATCAACTCCATTTGTTTTCTAGTTGGGCTCTCAATGAAGTTAGTCCATTTATATAAGTAACCCATTCATCTTGTGTGCCTCTGAGTGTGTGTGTTGGACCCATATTTGATGCATTGATGTATCGTTTCCTGCATTTAACTTGAACCACACAAACACACACAAACACACACACACACCAGACTGATTGCACTTTAGACTGCGTGCCATGTCTTACAGTATAATAAGTGTGTTGGTGTTTGTGAATGATGTTCAGATTACACATCAGGAATACATTCATATTCAGGAAACTCCACACCCCTGCAGCTTGCTTATGTAGAGAGTATTATTACTTCTACTCGCAACATGAGTCTTTTTAGGAGAACATAAGGAGTGACGCTTTTTTTATGTATCGTTTGGGTTTCTATTTTAAGCAGAATACTAATAAAGAAGACCAGCTCGCCTTACCCAAACCCATACTGTATATCAAAATATATCAAAATTTAACATGACTCAAATTCAAATCAATCAAAGCTTATTTATAAAGCCCAATATCTCAAATCAAAAATGTTTCCCTGTTGACTTACATTTGGAAAAAGATATCTTTGAATATGTGTGTAATTAATTTAAAGATAAATAAACTCCAAAGTCCATCCACTCTTATAGCGCTTATTTGAATCATGTGGTCCTAAAGGTTGTATAATACGCTTAAAGTTGAATCCAGAATTATGTCCCTCCCCGTTAGGCAGACCTCTGTAATAGAGGTCACAGAACGACACAAGTCATTCCAAAAGTTCTGCAAAGTTTCACACGTTAGCCTTTCGATTAAGAACCATTGTTAGGTTCTACAGAATCCCAGTGCCATTCAGTTCTCCAGCCAATGACATTTCATTCAGTTTTCCAATAAAGAAATATCTTCTTGCTCTTCTTTTCTTTTAATTGTCCTTTATTCTCTTCTTCCTTTTCCCCCCGCCTCTAGGAAATGACCATTGCTGCAGCGTGTGCTCCTCCGGGAGGGGGGCGCAATCCCGTGACCCCCCGATTCATCCGCCACTTCAGCATGCTGTGTCTGCCCACACCCTCTGAACACAGCCTCAAGCAGATCTTCAAAGTGAGTAGACACACACACACACACACACACACACACACACACACACACACACACACACTCACACTCACAC